GTTTGTTATTTATAGTTACCTTTAAGATTTGTTGTAGGTATGCCCAGGTTTGAACAGGTATGCCCAGGTTTGAACCATGGATCAACTTACCCCCTAACCCGGGGCAAGTTGAGCCACAAAACTTTTTTTTTTAAAGAAGTAATATTTTCACTGCCCTTGATTAAATATTAATTATTATCATTGCCATTGATAGGAGACATCCTGAATTATAGGTGTGTGTTTTCATTTTTACTATGTGTCATTTCTCCTTGCTTAGAGGACAGCATAACTAAAAAATGGCTCAACTTACCCCACTCTCCCCTACATACATCCACACCTGAACATATTAGTGCTTGATCATGTTTAGTGAAGTTATTATAGCTGTATTTATTTATTATTATCCTATTTATGTCTCTCTATTATTAGCTTTTAAGGGTCGCTTCCTTTATTTTATTCTTATTTGTATTGTATTCTATGTTGCACCACATGACCATCACAAAAGACATTTCGTTGTGCCCTAACAATGACAATAAAGCTCTGGAATCTTAAATTAGTTTTGCTCACTGCCCTTATAGATATTCACTTACTTTCCTAAAATATAAAGAGCTATTGTGCAGTCAGGTTGTAAGTTATAAAAAGGTATGAAGAAATGTATAAAGTAAAACTGAAGGCAAAGGAATTCGGGGGCGAGTCAGAATCAAGGTAAAGGGTATTCAGTTACTAGAAATAGAAAATATGTTCTTATTGTTGTTTGTAGTTTCATCATCATCTAAATGTGTACATATGAATGAGGAATGCATGGACATTGTATTATTTTATGACAATAATTCCATGATAAACAGGCTAGCCTATTGTCAGTTAAACTAAATGTGAGGCTGCAAAATTCACAACATCTAATTACATGTGATTTAAATTACGTCAACAGTGTGTCATGGACTTCATATTCTGGCGGCACTTCCTGAAACAAGTGGGGTCTTTATATATAATTGCAGGGTGTTTTGGGGGATCACGTGACCTTGCTAGCACAGGATGTCCCACGGAAAAAGAGTTGTGACGTGAAGCGTGGCTACAGTCAGCTCGCTCCAACAGTGGGCACCGGCACATGGACAAAGTTGGAGACAAAGTTTGGAGATATGATACTTTCTACAAAAAAACTATTTAAGGTGAATCGGTGCTTATTTATTTTCAGGTAGTCGGGGGAACCCTCAAAAACAATAGCAAAACACGTTTTTTTTAATTGATCAACATTACATCAAAAGTTAAATGAACAAACATCCTCGCTTGCGGTCCGTTACGCACTCCTTTATGTCGGTTTTTCTGCAAGACGTCCATGCCTCCGCGCTGCTTCTCATTCATTCGGCAGAGAAGAGCAGCCCGCATCCGAGCATACAATGAAGCAGTGTGTCCTTGTCCGACACAATGCAGCAAGATGCTACGAAGCGGACGACACTCTTTCTCGCAAGACTCGGGACGTTTTCGCTCGATTGCAGAGAGAGAGATCAGCTTGAGGTTTGTATATGCTACGCGAACATCACCACATTTTGTCAGGAAATTACTCAAAGCGTAACAACAAATATAACCCACCGAGCCACCAGCACACGGTAAAGCTTGTAAACATCCTGCTGCCATGCATGCCCAAAAACGCTCTACATGCTGAAAAATGATTACTATTGAGGCTTACACTATTCCCTGTGCTGCTAAACCATACATGTGTGATGTGTGTCCGTGTGTGATGCAGGTATAATGGAGATTCCAAATAGGGATACTGCCATGTAGTCCAAAAATAATCAATATTTGTTCCTATTGAATATGTGAGTTGGTCATATAGGTTTTACATTTTTTCAGATTGTGATCATTTGAAAGACACTCGTTTCAGGGCATCATAGATAAATAATATGCAGAAGTATTCATTATAATTCTGGTTCACTTGTGGGGGTGTTGGAAAGGCTCCTGAATTGGAGGTCCCCTCCCCCCTAATGACTGCTATAGAATACACACACACACGCACACACGTCCATCAAGGTCCATTTAGAGCAATTATGAAGCTTATGTATAGATGATCTTTGATATATGATCTTCATCATCCTTGAACCAAGTATGCCCACTTGTTGTCTATCTGTCTTCACACACACACACATCTTGTGAATCTTTTAGACTTTAGTTTGTATGTCTTTGGCACTACCCTTGTGTACTAATGGCGTAGCAGATTAGTGAAACAAAACATCCCCTCCAAACCCTTTTTGTTGTTTCGATTTAAGAAAACAAAGGTGTTTACTGTAGTGAGGTTATCAGGTGCACACTTTTGTCAAACTTGAAATGTTAAGAGCTATTAAGTTGAGGATAATATAAGATATACAGTACTATATCGGAAAGGAAAGAAATGTTTTTTTATTTCCAAATGGCATCCGAACTAATATCAATCAATCACATTGAAATGTAAAACAGGCAGCACACTATATTATAACGTTTTCAGTATTTGCCTGTGACAGTTCATTGTTTACACTAAAACCCCTGGATGAACAGCTTAGCATTCAGTGGGAATTTGGCTTTCAGCGTCTCCATGAGATTTTGCTTCAAGGCTTTGACGGCAGCCATTAATGTAATTTGTAGTGAGATGATAAACAGAGTGATGTGTGTTTCTGCTTGAGCAGATAGTCAGATTTGCCCAACGCTCCAGTGACTCTTGAATATGTAAAAGTGCTCAGCTCTAGTGCTTCAGCCTGACAGTTTGACGGCTATGGCGTATTAAGCTCAGATAATTGGGTGATATTTACTTACAGAGCACACAATCACTCCACAAAACTGTTTCTTTTTCCAGTAATGATATGCTTTGTAGAAATTATTCACTGTCCTGACAGGTCCAAATTATGTGTATCTGTGTGTGTGTGTGTGTGTGTGTGTGTGTGTGTGTGTTGACGGTAGGCATGCATAGTCTACATTTCTTTTTCAGCAACAAAATAATAATAATTAAGAAATCTGTTGTACTCCATGGTTGTAAGTTATATCCAAGCAGTTCATTTGTTCCTAAGGGTTTCAGTGGAGCAACAAACCACATGTGGGCTGATATAGTGACATTATTGTGGGTTGTCTTCTTTACTGATTCCCCCTTAATATTTATGAGTGCAGGTCCAATGATAGCCTATAAGCGGGCACAGTAACGCAATACATTATATCACATGTCACTTGTTAGACGCTTTTATCCAAAGCGACTTACATACTCAATACTGTGGACAATCCCCACAGGAGCAATTTGGGGTGAAGTGTCTTGCCCAGGGACACAACGACATGCTGACAGCAGTGGGACTCAAACTTGCTATCCCCTGATTCAAAGTCCAGCACACTATCCACTGAGCCACAGCCTCCCATATACACCCAAATGATTGGAATGATGCTACTACAGTTGATGATGATTTAGTTATGATAATGTCAAGCTCTGACTTCCCTTAGATCTCTTTCCTTATAAACTTTTTTATCAGGAAATCATAAAAAATCATATCAGTCAACATGTTGAGGCTTGCGCTTGATGGTGACTTCACAATATGGACAAACTTCTGATTCACAAAAATGATACTGATGAATTTACCTGGAAGATGGAGCAATTTATCATCACACCCACTTCTTGAAATTGCTTCATGTTAAAGATACAGCGGCTGTGTCCTCTGCCATGTGAAAGAGTTTCACTGTGTTTGCTGTCGGTGAAACCCGCACTGTTTACATTAACTCCCTCACCCTCAATCCGTCTTCTTCCTTATCCCTCACCCCAGCCCCACCAGGTTTTGAGGTTTCTAAGAAATGAGGCGACCAAGTTTAAAAAAGCTTTGCGTTGTATAAACTGCTCAACATTTATCAGGATTTGGATAAAAGCAAAGGATGGTTTTAAATAAACACACTAGCTGAATTTATGTTTGTTCCTCAGGGCTAAGATGGGATGTAATTTAGTTTTCTGTTTTGTATTTCTCTTATACTTTTGTTATCTCTAAAGCATAATCCAACATGATGTTTGTCCATGATTATGATATATGTCATTATAAACCAAGAATCATATCTATTTTGCAAACTCTGCCTTAACTAAAGTGCCTTTTCTTTTTGCAGAATGAAGCTTTAGCCTCTGCATGACAAGCTATGAGCAACACACAGACTATACTCTAGACGTCCAATTACAAAGCCAGAACTCAAGAATGAAGACCAAATATGCAATTATCTTCATCTGTATCGTGGCCCTGGTCATCATTGAAAAGGAAAGCAACATCCTGTCAAGGTAAGAGAAAAAAGAGTCAGTAATCTGTAATGTAAGAACTTTATCGGACACCTCTAGAGCTCACTGATTAACATGTTCCAGCTTCCTTGTTTCTTTGTTTAGTACAAGACAACATGTTAAAATTACACGCAATACCAGTTGTTGTTCTGATCTGTCTCTGAGAGATGAGCAATATTTGTATTACTTCTGGACAAAGCCCGGCTAACAGCTCCCACCTGTTTACATTATTTATGCTAAGCTAAGCTAACTGACCACTGCCTGTAGCTTTGAATGAAATGCACAGACATGATAGTGATCTTCACATATAACTCTCAAAAAGAAAGCAAACAAATGTGTTTCCCATAATATCAAACTATTCTTTTCACGTGTGTTTAGACCAATGTTGTGATTCTCCTGCTATGAGTCAAACATAAGGTGGCTTCATGTACTGTATGTGTCAGCTAAATATAAGACATATCATATGTGTTTCTAGTTATCAGGCCTTTCTGTCTCAACAGAGTCTCTGATAAACTGATCCAGAGGCAGGCCCCACAGCAGACCCCACAGCCTCCACTGGATTATAGCAACACAACACAAAATGTCTCCCTGACGATGCTGAAAATGCTGCTCTCTAAACTCATCGGTACAGTTGGGTACAACTCAAGTCTCTCTGAGGAGCAAGAAGAGGAAGAACTAGATGATTTAGGCACGTACAGCTTCAGCGGTGGCCGTAAGCACATATTACTTTTGGCTACAACACGGACAGGTTCCTCATTTGTTGGGGAACTTTTCAACCAACACGGGGAGGACATGTTCTACCTGTTTGAGCCTTTGTGGCACGTGGAGCGCATGCTGACCACAGCCTCAGAGTCAAACAACGGGACAGTGTTGTCAGGAATCTACCGGGATGTGCTCCAGGGGCTCTTTCTGTGCGATTTCTCTCTCCTTGAGAAGTACATCGCCCCCCCACCTAAGGACCACGTCACCCCGGCTCTTTTCCGCAGAGAGTCTAGTTTATCCCTCTGTGAAGAATCTGTCTGCAGTCCTGTAGTCAAATATGTTTTTGAAAGGTATTGTATATCCTCTTGATATTCAACTTTAACACAGTTGCAAAGGGGGAGGGGCAGTATTTTATTTAACAATGTCGGCATTAGTTTAGTTTTAAGTTTAGATTTAGATACGGTAAAATTATTATAGGTTATGTTATGTTACCCCTGACTTGAATTTATTTCTTTCCTTCAATTCGGTAAATGAATTGCTCTAAATACGACGTATGATCCCTGCATTTGAAACAAAACACAATAGTTGCTGAATTCACTGAATATTGACTTTGAATGTATTTATGTTTGTACATAGTAGTTGCATGTACAATACTCTTGTAATGTTTTGCAAAACGAGACACTTAAAGACATCATTTTAGTGAGTCCTTTTAGTGGTTGACCTCACCCCTTCACCTTTTTATGTCCACTGTCTTATACCTTTGATCTTATTTTAAAGTATCATTGATCATCTTTTATACTTACTAATTCAGCCAACTGAGTTCCATGCCCATTCTTAATCATGCTTTACTTACTTGATGATAAGTGTTATCATACCATGTAAGTGTAAACCTAGTCACCTGAAACAAATCCTCTCTCTTTGCAACCATAGAAAAAATATTTTATCATACAAATCTCTAACACTTCCTTATTTTTTTAGGTTTCACTGTAAGACTCGTCGCTGTGGGCCGCTGAACTTGACCCTTGCAACTGATTCCTGCCTTTCGAAGCAGCACCACGCCGTTAAGACTGTCCGTGTGCGCCAGCTGGACACGTTGCAGCCTTTAGTGGAGGATCGCCGTCTGGACGTTAGAATTATCCAGCTTGTCCGAGATCCACGGGCCATCTTAGCATCACGCATGGTGGCTTTCTCTTCGAAGTACCAGACGTGGAAGACCTGGGCGCAGGACGGCCAGGTGCCCGAAGATGACGAGGAGGTAAAGAGGCTCAAAGCAAACTGCGACCAGATTAGGATGTCAGCAGAGGTGGGACTGAGCCAACCTCGCTGGCTGAGGAGACGCTACATGTTGGTGCGCTATGAGGATATTGCCCGCTACCCCATGCAGAAGGCAGAGGAGATGTACAGGTTCACAGGGATACCATTCAGTCCCCAAGCTCGGGAGTGGATCCTGAGGAACACACAGACCATGCAGGAAGCTAGCGGGATTTATTCCACCCAGAAGAACTCATCAGAGCAGGCAGAGAAATGGAGATTCAGCATTCCCTTCACACTGGCTCAGGTAGTGCAGAGGGTGTGTGGACCCACAATGGAGCTGTTTGGGTACAGATTTGTGGATGATGAAAAGACACTGATGAATAAGTCCATCAGTTTACTCGAAGAGAAGCTCTTTCTTTAATCCAGAGGTAAAAAATGAAGCTGAGAATCTGGAAAACATTTCATGCAATGGATCCAAACCAGGAAAAGACATTATTGCACGGGCCAAAACTAGTATGCAAAGGTGCCAGGAGACACAACATGTTTTACTTGGGACAGTAAGCTATTGGCCATACAATAATATTCACTCTCACCAATGATGTGCCTCATTAATACAAATGACGAGCCACTTAAGAAAGAGAAGTATTTATTTGTGTTCTGCGTTCACTGAGAGGCCTGGTATTTAAGCTTTACTTGGCGCTTTAAATTTAGTTTTAAATTTAAAAAAAGGCTTAGATGTCAAGCCTGACTTGAAAGGGATTATTATGTCATATTTTATTGATAGTTGATCATCTACGAAAGTGAAATTATGGTGATGTGTGTTAACTTTATGTGTGTGTCTGAGAAAGAAGTTGTTTCTGTTCATAGTTCATGACGCTAGTGCTTACATTTGTCTAGTTCAATGTATATTTTGATATATATCAACTGATCGATCACTTTAGTTTAGACCTGGTGTGCTTTAATAGAGCTTTACATATCCAACTCAGGTGAAATTAATGTGGCATTTTGTGGTGTCTTCACAAGGGGTATTGATACATCTCCACAAAAAGTACTTTTATTTTTCCCAAAAGAAAGTATTCACAGCAGTAATGCATTTTCCAGTGCTGCCTCCTATCCTCTAAGGACACAGTTTAGGTATTATTTAACCGAAGCAGCTCCTGCACTGATATCCTATGTGTTCAAGGACACAGGGAACATTCTTGTGCAAAGAGATGTTTTAATTACTTTACAAGTCAGAGAAATAAAATCACCAGAATGAATAAAACCTGCAAAAGTGTAAAGGCTTTTTAGTCGTGAGTTTAATGTGTGTTAACGGCTATGGTCACAACAAAAATATAAAATTGTAACTGTTTTAAGGTGGCCTTTTACTTTAAGTGAAACCCAGGTGCTGCTGTGTGAACTGTCACTCTTGATGGTATATAAAGGTATCCACTGTGGCTCTAGCTCAATGGTAGCATTGTGTTCTGCTTCGCTGAGGCACGGCTGAAACTGCTCTGCTGCTTATGGAAAGGGATATGCTTTAGAGGTACATATAGAAGCGTGCTCATACTAACTTACTGTTTAAAACATAACTGAATACATTACATACACCTACGTACAGAGAGGCGGGCCTCAAGTTGAACAGAGTCACTACTGCAAGTTTTTTGATCAAAAGGGAATACTGTGAAATACCAAGTGCAGCTGAGATAATGGACGCAGTCAGTCTATTCAACTACTTCAGATACCAAGAGTGGCATTACGATTATGTGTGACTGTATGTTTTACAGTCCTTAAAACAATAAGTCCTTCCTTCATTTAGAACGTGTCTACTTGAATAAAGAATGTTCATGGTGAAGAAAATGATTAGAACAGCAATAGCAGAGTAGTATAAATAGTAGCAATTATGAGTCAAGTCTTAATTCTTTTCCAAACAAGTCTTGGTGCAAGTCTGAGTATCTTAAAAGAAAAGTAACACCTATTGATCAGGGTTGTGAGTCAGAAGGGAACAATGAAATGCCATATTTGAAAATGTTTCTTCTAAAGCTCTTAATGGGGATTTTTGCATAAAGCTTGGCCTTACAAATATGTGTTCAAGTGGTGTGGCTAAGCAATGCTTGATTTTACTAAGTCAAAACTGGAGTCAAGTCACAAAGCCTCATTTCTGTGACTTATAGCAGAGCAAGTCTGCCTCTGGAAGAAAAGCAGTGTCATAGGATGTCAAATTTGTGTTTTTCTATAATAAATTGCTGTCTGTGTATTACATCTAAGTTACAGTCATATTGCTGATGCAGAAGAAAGCACAGATTATGTTTAAGCATGTAGAAATGTATCACACACATGCAAATGGCAGAGTTTCTTCTATTGAAAAAGTGATTAAAGTTATTTCTTGTTGTAAAATGGTTTGAAGCAATAGAGACATCATTATGTTCTTTCATGTGCAAGTGCTGCTTCTGTCACAATAAGATGATTTCTCACTCCTTTCTTCAAGGATCCAAAATAATGCTGATGATCAATCAGATGTTGCTGTTGTGTCTAGAGGTGACACCCTGGAAAACAAACATGTTGTAAATGTTTATGGTCTCTTAGTCAGAGGTTAAAGAGCAAGGTGAGAGGACAATCCTGGTCTGGACGTGCAGTTAGTGACCAATAGGCCTACAAAAAAGCAACACAGTGCTATCAATTGAAGAATTACATAATGATGTGTTATGGTTGTAGCTTTTTTAATTAAATCCCGAGCCTGTTTTTCAGGTTTCAGGCTCGAAAATGACATTCCCAGAACAAATGACCATATCTTCCCTTCTTAAAAGGGTTAAATTAATAATATTTGTTCTCAAAGTAATGATAAACCTGTCAGTTGGATGTAGAAAAAGTCAGATTCAATATTAGTTAGGGAAAGTTAGGTATTTTTTTAGCCATATCGTGAAATAATTTATTACCAATAGCTTTTTTTACCATATGTTCCTATAGGTGTCTAGTAACACCTCCCGATTTATCCACAGCCAAATCCTCTGGGAATTGCCTGGAGAGCCAATCAAAGTTAGGGTGCCCATAGGGCGTGGGTAAAAATAGTGAAAAAAATGTTTCTACCAAAAGTGACTTTTGAGATGTCTAACTAGGGGTTTTTAGGGGTGCTGAATCTGTCCCAGTCATTGGTTTTGAGTAAAAATGACTCCAACTCCATAAACAATCCATAAAAAGTGGTTTTATTGAACAATTGCAAATCAAAACTAGCGTTATTAGTTGACATTTTAACAAACCTCATCAAACTCCCCTGCATCTCCCTCACTATTATTATCATCGGGCTGGTTGATGTTCTGGCAAGAGTTACCATGACAGTTCCCACAAGCAGAAATACATTTGACTCCTTTGCTTTTTACAGCAGCACCTGAGAGTGCCACAGTCACCTGCGCAGTTGCAGCAGACTAACTTCAGAAGGTAATCTGGTGCCATGGGATCTGTTGTAGGGACTGGTTCATAACCATGTTTTCCTTGTTTCCATCCATACTCAAGGACATCCAAAGATGGACTTTGTAGCATTAGCCAATCTCTGGTCTGGAGATATGCCCGCAGTGAGTGCTGTGCTGCAGCTCCTGTAGTTGGAGGCAGTTTCTCAGGCTTGATGCTCCCAGCTGCCGCCCGCTTGCTGAAGATATCAAATCTTAAATCTTCCAAATCTCCAGATGGATTACCACGGAATATGTTCTTGAACAGTTCGCAGCCAGCTTCGATGATGTCACTTTTCTTGGCTCTGATGTCACAGAACACATCCCATGGCCCGCTCTGATTTGTCAGTCTGGCAGAGCTTGC